ATACTGACTAAGAAATGAGCCTATTTAGAATTGTTATCAATTGCAGTATTTATTACTGGTGTTCAAAATGTGAGGAGTCACACAGATGATTTATTCCACAAAACTATTACATGATTTGTCAGAACAGACATGCCGAAATGGGCTTGCTTTGTTTTTAAGAAAAAGCTGTCAAATTTTTCCATATTCATCCTCTAAAAATAGAATTCTTTTCTCCAAGGATCTTATCAATTATTTATACACAGTAGCAACTAAATTATTTTAATCTTTGCTTTGGGCATTTTTTAGCATAAAAATACCACTGGCAATTTCAAAACATCATTGAGTATTTTACAGACTAAGGATATTTTCCCGAAGTGTTTACTCACTTGTCCTACCAATTTAAAGAAGTGCAGATTTCCCTACAGAAAGGAGGAATAATAGAAAATTCATTCAAATTTTTAGAGAGCTTTATTCCTTAAAGCCTTTAGAAGCACAATTGGGCAATCGCTATCAAAATTTAGAAAGCATCTGGCCTTTGATACACCAATTCTACTTCTGCTTTATAGATATACTCACACATGTAGATATCCTTTCACATATGTGAAAAGACTTGCCTTTAAAGTTATTCACAGAATCTTTGTAACAAAAGATGGAAAACTATTTAAATGCTCATGTTTAGTAAACTCCTTAATTGTATTATGTTCCCTTTATACGTTGGATTACTACGCAGCCGATATACTGATGGACTGACATGGAAAGATCACCACCACATTGCTGGGTAGAAAAAACATGATAGAAAATAATATATATGGGGTTTTTTTGCCATTTGTGTACAAAGAGAGGAAGGAGGGAGAATATGTATTTATACCTAATATAATCTCTGGAAGAATATATTTGAAACTATGAAACAAATAACAGTGGTTCCCTGTGAGGGGTGAGGTAGGAAACAAGTCTCTGAAGAGAGAAATAGGAGGAGACATATTTCTATGTCCCCATTTAAAATTTTGTTTATTTGAACCACATGAACAGATTTAGTATTAAGAAAGTAAATAAATTTTTTAAATAAAAAAAGTAAAAATACATATACACATCAGTCTCCAAAGAGACCAGGATCTGTTGAATAAGTCAGGTCTTGGAAAATTCTGGTACACTGTGTGGAAGATACTGTTGCTGCCCACCCCTCTCTCCTGAGGCTTCACGGCTTCAGTGTGAGCCATGAGCTTCCAACTGCCAGCATCTGTCTGCATCACTGCTCCGACCCCTCCTGGGGCAGGCTAGAAGTGCTGGAGAATTAATGCTTCTCCTGTGTCTGGAGCAGCCCTCAACCAACCAGTGAAGAGGACTGCTGAATCGACGTCCCAGCTCCCTAATCCTCAGTAGATATAACACTGAGGCCTGAATTCTACACTGGAATTTACACGCTCAAGGTGGTAACTTGTTTGCTAATACATCCTTTATTGGCTGCCTTCCTTTTTTTCTCTCCCTTCTTCATTCTTTTCCCAGTTTCCTGAGATCACGTCCTAAATAAACTACTTGTAATCTAATCGTCATTGGAGGGGTTTGCTTCTGGAAGAATCCAAATTGACAGTTGGTGCTAGAAGTTGAGTAGTGAGGTGATAACTTGTGGTGTGCCATAGCATCACCATTCCTAAGAATTCAGCTATAGAATGAGATGCAGGTTCAAGAGGACGAACTGGCTTATGAAGTATCTGTAATATTCTGCGAGATGAAGGGACAGTGATAACTAGACGTTGTGGCATTAGTTGATTGTTGCTAAGTTTAAGTGAAGTACTGAAGGAAGCTTCAGGTCACCCAACTATCATCTCAAAGAATGGTAAAATCCAGAAAGTCTTTATGGCGGTATTTAGAGGGATCTTTATTTCTTGCAATTGGAGGGTAGCTTGTGCTGAAAAATCAAGCCAGGATCTGATGGGACGAGTAGTTGTGTTATCTAGAAGGCTCATTTCAGGGCCTTCTGTAGTAAAATCAGAGCTCTGATGAAGAATGATTGGGACCTTGAGACCCGGGATGGGGACATTGAGAGGATGCACTCGAGGACTCAGAACCCCAGATTTCCCTGAAACGTCTGAGCTGGGAGAAGTGTCACACTCCCCCTTGTCTGAAGACCACGGAAAGACCCACCTTAGGCAGATGACTTTCAAGATGATACTAATCTTCCTCAAGATCTACTCCCACCTCTCCTTTCTGCTTTTGGACTAATAGCCAGGGCCGCATCTCAGCATGGCCTACTATGGGAGGAAAGGGGTTATTTAATGAAAGAGCTGCAGGATCTGGCCAAAATGTACCAGGATGAGCCAGGAAACATGCCTGGGAAGAGATCTCGATGATCTGGGCTGTGGCGAGGGATGGAAGGTAAGACTGGATAAAAGAGAGTTTATTGCCACAGGGGTGCTCTCCCAGGCTGAGGATTTAATATCCTGCCGAGGAGACCTGTACTGCTGAGATGTCTCCTTACCGCTTGGGAAAAACAGTGGCAAACAATAAATAAGATGGTGATGCCAGAACTTCCTTGGCAAAGTATTGAGGAAGAGGCCAAAGGCTCAGAGAGCTGGTCGTGATAGAATAAATATTAGGAAAGACCAGAGATCCCACCAATTGCCTATACGCATTGGGAGGGCCCAGAGGACACTCCTTTCTCTAATGCTGTGAAGATTTCACAAGTCCTGTGTAAGAAGGGCTGCCAGATAACGCGCAGGATGCAATGTTTGGGACAGACTTTCACTAAGAAATTATTCACTGTTTATCTGAAATTCAAATTTAACTGACATCCTTTTGCTTTTTTTTTCTTGCTAAATCTGACAACTCATTCCATTGGCCACTGTTGATGATAGGGAATACCACTATGGAAATGGGTTTCCCTCGTGTCACCAGAGAAGGATTTCTGAATAGCAAAATCAGGTAGTTGCACTTCATCATCAGAGGCAAGGAGAATGGAATTCTGAAAAGGGCAGCAGGGCTGGAATGGCAACCAGGGCTCTGAACAGCAGGGATCTGTAGCAATGGCTAATGGACCATGGTGTTCTTAGAGGCAAGGTAAATGGGCAGACAATGAAAATGCTGTTTCACCACTCTAACCAAAAAGGATCAAGAGTTGATGACTTCAGCTCCTCAATTGAAAATTTTGACCCTTTGCCCAGTTTCCAGACCTAGCCAGTTCTCAGACTAAGAAACCATTAATTGCATGGGAGGATAGGTTCCTTTAGGAAAAACTCTGTAACATCGCAAGAGGCATCAGGCACAATTCCCCCAACTCTTCCTCAAAGGGACCTGCTACCATTTCTAGAGTATCTGAACACTGAGAACAAGGAAGTACGCAAATCCTTTTAGGCCTCCTGGATACAGCATTTGAATGAAACTGACATCAGGGACCCAAAACACCATCATGCCCCCTCTGAGGGGTTGGGGATTAGTCGTACAGAAACCAGATGATCAACGGATTCCTGGCCCAAGTCTGTCTCACTGTGGGTCTACTGAGTCCACAGACCCACCTGGGTTATTTCCCTAGATCCTGAGTGTGTAGTGTGATTTGATAGACTTAGCAGTTGGAAGAAACCTCAGATTGATTCTCTGGTTTGTGGCGTAAGAACCATGATAGGAAAGGCCCAGTGGAAGCCCCTGAAACTGCCACTTCCCTCCTGGTCAAGAGGGGACATTGGAAGCAAAGCTGTTCCCTGGAGAAATGGCAGCACTTAGGGCCATCCTCGAGGACTTAAAGGATCCTCATTACATCCCTATTTAACTCAGCAGTCTCACTCTTTTTTTTTCAGCATTTAAAATGGTTTGGAGTTTTTTTTTCTTCTTCTTCTTCTCCCCAAAGCCCCTCAGTACGTACTTGTAAATTCTAGTTGTAGGTCCTTCTGGTTGTGGCATGTGGGATGCTGCCTCAGCATGGCTTGATGAGTGCTGCCATGTCCACACCCAGGATCCGAACTCCGAACTGGTGAAACCCTGGGCCGCCGAAGCAGAGCAAGCAAACTTAACTGCTAGGCCACAGGGCCAGCCCCTAGTGGATTTTTGGATTTTTTAATTTTAATTTTTATTAATTTTTTTATTGAAGTATAGTTGACATACAATATTGTATTAAAAGAATAAAATCCTCCCATTGTGACAACATGGATCTAGAGGGTATTATGCTAAGTGACATAATCCAGACAAAAAAGAAGAATACCATATGATTTCACTTATATTTGGAATCTAAAGAAACAAAACAAGTAAGCAAACAAAACAAAACAGAAACAGACTTATAGATACAGACAACAAATTGGTGGTTGCCAGAAAGGAGTGGGGTGGGAGAAAGGGCAAAATAGGTGAAGGGGATAAGAGGTACAGTCTTTCAGTCATAAAATAAATGTCATGGGGATGTAACGTACAGCACAGGGAATATAGTCAACAATGTTGTAATTACTTTGTAGGTTGACAGATGGTAACTAGTCTTATCAGGGTGATCATTTTACTATGTAAATGAATGTGAGAAAAAATTAAAAATAGAACTACCATACTATCCACCAGTACCACTTCTTGGTATTTATCTGAAGAAAACAAGAACATTAATTTGAAAAGATATATGCACCCCTATGTTCATTGCAGCATTATTTACAATCACCAAAATATGAAAGCAACCTAAGTGTCCATCGGGTATCTATCAGTAGATGAATGGTTAAAAAAAATGTGATACACACACACACAAACACACACAATGGAATATTATTCAGCCATTAAAAATAAGTAAATCATCAGTCTCACTCTTGATAAAAATAGATGCATAATGGTGAGTGACAAAAGACTATTGTAAACTTAACCAAGAATTAAGCCTAATCTCAGCTGCAGTGCCAGATGTGCTATCTTTATAGAACAAATCATGCTACTACTGATCTGGTAATTGAGTTCTTTCAATCACCACCAGCAAGTAGAACCAGAAGCTGGCATTCACTTAGAACTGAGACCAGTACACATTAAAGGTCTTGTCCTGGGTTTTTGTTTACTCTCCTACTGTCTTTCATAGTACAGTCCAAGGGACCTTGATCATCTGGACATTCCTTTAAACGTTGAGCTGGTCCACCATATTGATGAGATGATACTGTGTTAATTCAACCTGAGGAGCAAGAAGGGGCAAATTCTATGAACGCTTAGGCAAGAAACACTGACGCCTGAGGTTAGAAGGTAAGTCCTTCAGAGATAAGAGGCAAGCTATATGGTGAAGTTCTTAGAGGTCCAGTTGTCCGGGGTCCAAGCACAAGTATTACACCTTGCACCTCTACTACTAAGAAAGAATCACAGTATTTGATCAGCCTCTTCAGATTTTGCAGATAGCACACACTGCGTTTGGTGGTGAGTTGATGACATTGGGCCTTTGCCAGCCTGGAGGGCACCAACTTATACATATATGGTCTGATACATATATGTGATCAGCAATCAGAGGCATAAATGTGATACTGAGAGCTGACAGAATGCTGGTACATTATCATGGAATCACCCAAAATATCGAAGAAATGGACCCACTTTATGAGTAAGGAGGTGAGACAATAAGCACATGACCTTGGGATTCACCAATCTTTTCCGTATACCACATCAACCACAAACTACCAGCCGGAAAGAAAATCTGAATGGCCTCTTCAAGTGTTGCCTCCCCTCCCTACCCTACTTGCCCACTCCCCTACCAGCATGTCCTGGATCACCTCCCAAATGAACTGTTCACGCTGGAATCCTCCAGCCTGTACTTGCTTCAGGGGGCACCAAACTAAAGCATGGATGTAATAACAGCACGGGTTCTTGTCAGTTTGTCAACATCATTCTTTCTTCTCTAAACATGCCTGCCTTGTTCCACTCCATTTACTGGGCTACGATAGCAAGAGCATTTGTCTGCAGCCAGCATACATCAAATTTTCCCATAGACACCAATTCTTATAATCAGGACAAAGGATTTATCAAATTTATTTCAGACTTTGAACTTGACTTTCATTAGGTCTGGCCTGATTTATTTTTAGTGCCTTGAACCACTGCTTACATCCACAGGAAAGCGTGTTGTAGTAAATTAGGCAGGTTTTATGGGGGGATTTAGACATTCTTGGGTTTGAGTCTTACTAGCTTGCTTTATGTTAATGTGGGGTGAGCTAAGTTTGAGTATCCTAAACTCTGCACTAAGTTTCATTATCTGTACTCTGAGAATAATAATATGTATTTTGCAAGGCTTTTTGTAATGTATTTAAAGCAAGACACTCAGTGGCTAGCACAAAATAAATCCTTAACAAAAGCTAATTTTCCTTTACTGTTCACCCTAGCTCTGTGTGTAAACGCCCTCTTCTAATCTTCAAAGCATTTATAATATAGAATAGAAATGATGTCTATCAAGCTTAAAGGAGACAAAGCGAGTAGAGTGTTGATACACAGTAAGTGCTCAATACATTTCCGTCCCTTTTCCGTGTGGCACTATTTCTATCTGCTTTAAATTGTCAGACTTTCGAACAACAACTTTGTCTAGTCATTACTGGAGAGAAGAAAAGCATATTCTTTAATCAGACCTCAGTTCCAGCCATTTATTTTCTAGAGCAGCAATTCTCGCACATAATCCTTCAACCCTCATCACAGGTTCCTCTCATCACCTGGCTTGCTGCGATGACTGAGGTTTCTATCCCTTCACTCAGAAAGGATCAGTTTGGGAGGTTACCTCCCCGTAAGCAGGCAGTTCTATTTTCATGCCTTTCTGTCAGAAAGATGGGAGTGGAAAAAGAGAGTTGGCATGGAAGCCAGGGTGAAGCCATGGCCGGTCATGACACATTTCCTCGGACAGCAGTTGCTATTCAGTGCTCCGGCTTTTAGGAGAGTGGCCCGGACTCCAGAATTTCTAAATAGGATGGGCCAGTGGCTTACCAAGGCCAGAGCAGTGAGAGCAGTTCACCCACCTGCTGGCAATCATAAGGTGAATTGGCTGTAGGGAATTTAAAAACAGTAATAAAACTGATCAAAAGTTGGCCTGCTTTTTCTTTTTAGTCACCACATGGCAGCAATTCTAAATAATGTTAGTGTTAAAAATTCCTCTCTGAAAAATCTTTTATGAGACTACTGAATAATTACTGTAAGTACTCTTGATATTTTTATTACTTACCTTTTAATGAAGCTTGCATTGGCGTGGGAGTTAATTTGTTGCACAGTAGCCCGCATCCTCCGCACACGAGGACTCAGCTACATGCGTTCAGTTCACACCCTGTCTCGAAGCTTGTGCTACTTCTATCTTCTTGCATTTAAACATATTTGAAATAAACATGATAGCACAGACAGGATTATAAAGAAACAGAACTAGAGTCATTTCAATTCTCTAGTCGTGTGACTATTCATGTTTAAAATTTAAAACAGTGAAAGAAGAATGCAGACTGTAAAGTGTATTATTTTAAGTTCAGTGAGTACAAATTTTCGTTCATATGAGAAATGAATTTGTGTTATTTCATGATTTTGTTGAAAACAAATTTGTGGTATAGAAGAAAGGATATTAAAACATGACCCATTTTAGATATCAAATATCCCCTGGGATGACTTTAGAGTGACAGTCTGATGAGATGAGGTGGCTAGGAGTTTTATCTTTCATTAGCATTTGCATAGCAGTTTGCATATTTTCATATAGATTGTATTTAACATATCAATAAAAATAACAATGTATTCTAAAATTACTTTTACAATTCACACGAGGAAATTTTTTTTTTTTTTTTTTTTTTTTGGTGAGGAAAATTGGCCTTGAGCTAACGTCTGTTGCCAATCTTTCTCTTTTTCCTGGAGGAAGATTGTCACTGAGCTAACAGCTGTTCCAGTCTTCCTCTATTTTGTATGTGGGACACCAGCACAGCATGCTGGATGAGCAGTGTGTAGGTCCGCGCTGGGGATCCCAACCCACCAACCCCAGGCTGCTGAAGCAGAGCACTTGAACTTAACCACTATGCACCAGCTGGCCCTACAAATACTTTTTAATACCAAAAAATGATAATGACAACATGAAATAGCATCTACACGTATGTGGGCACAATAATGATTTTCAATTTGGCATTAGGTCAATGACATGTACCAAAAGCATATTACATTTATTCTACTCTCAAAACAAACAAACAAACAAGGCTGAGGAACTGAAAAATTAGGGAAGTGCTTTTCTTCTGCTGTGTAGGAAGCAAAAGCCTCGCAGCACATTTAACCTTCAAATCCTCGCCTCTCGATTTACAGATGGAGCTGCAGCATCACTTGCTTTGCTATCATTACTAGTTTCCCCCGTTAAGTCTTTATCCAATCACATACGACAGAATTCATGGTCAAAATCACACTGGCGCATCCCATCTCGGGGAGGGAGGGGCATGAATAGACTGGGGACTCCCTCCCCCGTCTCGGCACATGCCTTCTCTTACCACTATCTGCTGCTGTATTCTTTGGGTTTTGAGGCTAGAATTTAGGACTATGCAATTCATTTTTGGGATCAAGAATAAAACCATGTTCCTTAGACACGGGTCTGTCGATGGCTAATCCAGAAAGTGATTCTTTAAGAACAGAAGATACACGTGGCTTCCCGGGCAAAGAACAATGGAAGGCAGGGAAGCCAACGTGATATATTCACAATTTGTCAGTTCCAGCAGTTGTCTGACTCTTTCCATTTGTCTTTAGGGATCTGCTGGTCGTCTAACATGTCTTTCTGGGCCAGCTCATTTCCACACGTTAAGACTCAGACTCCTATCAATAAAGTCAGGATTGTCTGTTTATCTCCAGAAAGATCTCATGTAAACAGGATGGACTTTTACATTTTAGTGGTTTTTCGGAGATTCCCCTCAATACCGTGAAATTGCTTCTGGTACAGGGAAAGCAAACATTGTTACAAACTAAAGATATCTGGGTAATTTCCTTCTAGTGCTTTCTCCGTTATTGAATATATTTATAATTCCCTAAGCACAAACGTCCCCTCGCAGCCGCTCTTGTACATTCCTGCAAGAATTCCGAATGCCACGGTAGTGATTAAGATAATGTAAATGCATAAATAGCATAACGACTTCCCTTCACAAAGGAACAATAGCCAAATTTGCTTTCCACATAATGGTACTATTGAGTCCTATTTTTAAGAAATTCTGCTTAGGAATATTTTGAAGACAAGAAAATGAATGCTTCTTGTTGGTTCACAACCTCGGGTGTTTGGTTTGTAACCTGGGTGAAATCTGAAACTGATCCCCTGAACATGGAGGGCAGGGAGAGACCCAAGAAAGAGGCAGACCACTCCAGATGCGTAGGTGGCAGGGTTAATAAGCAAGAGAACTTACACACAAGGCTTGTCTTGGGCGGCAGCAAAATTGGTAGACTTCCACATCGTCCCGCCAGAATCTTTCAAGTTTATAGACAGGGCTTAATGGGTTCAGTCACATATACCATCCAGATGGTCTCAACAACACATTGCTCTCTTGAGGCTGTGTCCTTGAAAGTGGCTCCCATTGTGGGAACAGTGGGCACAACACACATTCCAGGGACGGGGAGGGGGTGGGGTGCCCTGCATTGCCCGGGTCCAGCTGTTGGGTCAACTGGTGGTCACGTCTTCTCCATGACCTCCTTCGACACTTACAAAGTAATAGAAGGTTGAAAAATCATTTATGGTCATTATCATTAATGTTATTATTAGATGTCAATGGTTGGCATTGTTTTGAATGATTGGAAAGCGTTATTCTTATAAATATTACTCTTTTAAAGTGTCTATATGTTTCTTCAAACTAAAATGTTTACAGTGTAATAAAATTATTACAGTGCAATAGAATTTTTGAAAACCCGAAGGACTCCAGCTCTGTCAAATATCAGCATTTTCCCATATTTCCCATAGAGCAGGGCTCTGTGTATGGTGGTTAAGGGTCCAGACTTCAAAGTGATGCTCCCTGGATGCAATCCCTCTTCTACTACCTAAATAAGTTCCTTGCTGTAGAGCTTTGGGTAAGTTACTTAACCTCTCTGAGCTTCCGTTTCTCAAATGTAAAGTTAGCATAATAATATCTTATAGAGTTTTTATCACATTTAAATATATTGATACATGTAAAGAGTTTAGGGAAGTGCCTGGCATACAATAAATACTCAATATGTGTTTATTATAATAATTTCCTTAAGATTAAAAATGATAAAAATTTGAGATACAGTTGAAGATACCTGAGTACCTCTACCCC